TATAAATGTGTAAAACATAATATATGCAGCAAGTACGCAACCTAGAAATTGGGATTATAGGTAGAGTAATACAAGCACTTTATATCAACTTGTTGTGAAATATTTCGCAGCTAATAAAGAACCCYGGGGTTGATCGTCGGAAATGTTCAATTAAAAGACCCCTAAGGATCCCAGAAGTCTTGAAAAAAGGGCGTGGTTGACTAATTTTTGACAAATATTGTAAAATTAAATCAGGTCCAATGATAAAAGCGCAGAGGAAAGGACAYCCTAAGAGATTGCAGAAAATGCAGATTTCCAGAAACTCCACTTTGGCACCCTAAAAGATTTCCAGTCATGAATGTTTATCCCTAAGAGGACTAASAGATCCGAMAAGCATCCCCGRTACTTTAACCCGAATCCCCCCTCTTCCCYGGGTAAATAACAAGACTTGTAATTGGCTAAGGCCAGAGTTAAAAGARCAAAGACAAMAGAACCTATTGTTCTGGGAAGTCTTTCGCAATAACTGTATGCCAGACTTCAGGCTACAAGCAATTTGAGAAGCAACGCAGGTCGTTTTTTCCAACAGCGAGGAACGAACCTTGTTTCACAGGAAAAAAAGCTTAAATAAGGTGTAAAAGGTTTGTGAACGAAGTACACCTGAGTTTAAGTCTTTTAAACAAAATTTCAGATCTTGCTTTTAGAATCATTACAACACCCATGCACTTCTTCTTCGCAGCAAACTCGTGATGTAAGATGATAATTTAAGCCAATCAAAAATCTGGAATCGCTCAAGTTTGCATGAACGAATCATTTTGCTGTGAGAAATGTTGGCATACAGGTAGTAAAACGAGAAACAACGATCATTTTGCTTCTACTAGTACAGTACATGACAACTAAGTTATATATGTAATTATTTTGAAAGCAGCATTTAGCGGAAATGCCGTGACAGAGCAAATAAATGGTATTAATAATAAGAAACACTACTGAAAGCTATTAGAATAAATTCTTCTGATGAGAAATAAGGCCAATGCCGGGGTGATSAAGTGCTCATCCTTGGTTAAATTTTAAAATGTATATGGAGTTTCGAGTATACTCTTGATAACGATATAATTGGGTTTGAGATGAACCGGCCAAAAATATATATACATAAATATACTAGTTAAATTATCTAACAGCAGGTATACATCCTAGCTTGTTTCCAAGATGTCAAGTTTCAACCAATTTGACATTCATGCTTTTAGTAGATATTTATTCGGAAATTTTACCAAATTGGCATGATTGAGTAGTAGAACTGGTGCTTTTGCAACCTAGCTAACGTTTTGTCCATAAAATAACCTATAAAAGTGAGTCAAACTTTGTAAATAAAAATAATTGAAGGACAATCCTTTAAATAACATATATTATTCATGATTTATCAAAATTTGCATTTTTAGTCAGCATAGCCATAAGATCGAGAGCGCAGGTGATTGGCAACGTATCTCTCGCCATCGTTCCCAAGGATCAAGAGCTTTGAAAAGTGGAAAAAATGCAAGAATAATATGAACCTATATATCTCAAGTATTTTTTTGTTGTATTTTGTAGCAGGTGAGCATATTTCCTTTTACTTTTCTTCGAAGTTTTAGAAGTTTTGCCTAATTTTTTAACATCAAAACCGATAAAAATTTTAAACGAGGCCTGTTTATGATATCAATATTTGTTTTCTTATCGCCATTATTTTCTATTCTCGTTACAAATCGTGTTATAGRTAAAATAATTAAATTCTTAAACTTTTGATATACTTTGATATTTAATATTTTTCTTTGGTGATAAGGCTGTTTTGTTGCTATAGCAAAGAAGTGTTACATAACTATCCAAAAAAAAAGTTTTACTGACTACTTATAAGTTAGGTTTAAGAGAGAATATTTTTACAGGATCAAGAGATTAATCAATYTGATGTTACAGCACAATCATTTTTTGGCTTAAATAGGTAAAAAAAAACACGATTTATGACACATGTCCTTGTATTAAAAAAAAAAAAAACAAGACAGAAAAGTATAAAAAAATATCCACGCTTGTGTCTTTACGCCGTATTCAGATTATATATAGGTTAGAAATATAGACATCCACCTTAAGTAACCGTAATTTCACGGCTTTAGTCTAAAAGTCTATATTTTTCACCCTATGTTTCTACCTCAGTCCGTATTAAGGGCCATTGAGGSTAAGTTTRGAGATCTATAGTTTTCACCCACAGAYTCTACCTCCGTTCARAGTAAGTTTGGGAATTTATRTATTTTTATCATTTTTAAGTCTCCACCTCCATATTCAGGCTAAGATTAGGCATTCTAGGTTTTCATCCATGTACATGTAGCCTGCGCCACAGATGCATGATTTCAAACATTCTAATTCGCAATAGGTGCAGCTTTTGCTCAGTCTGCCCGCAACACAGAGAGTCGGTTAAAGCAGYACATTCTAAAAGACTACGATCCCAGCATACGCCCAGTGGATAATGTATCACAAGTTGTTGATGTTAAAGTTGGTATAAATCTACAGCAGATCATTGCAGTGGTACGTAGCGATGTAAGATTTTTATTTAAGAAATATAAACACACGGTCGTCAGCAAATCGGAGCGCGCATTATATATAAAACATTCATAACTTACAATATTCGGTTCCATGGTATAATTCTATAGTACCTGTCAAACTCACATTGAAAAATTTCACTGTTTTATAGAGTTTGTAAATGATATGTAAACATACTGTAAATAGACAAAATGTCATTTTACAAGTTTTACAAWTTTTTTTTACAATTTTAAATACAATCTGTGAATTTCTGGTAAATTTTGCTGTATGTATTCGATCTTAACATTGCGGTAAATGTATTGTAAAATCAATTTACAAAGTGTGTAAATTATAATTTCAAGTAAATTAACAGACTCWGTAAATTGTTCAATAACTTTTCCAGTGCTATTTCAAGGGTGAAATTCTAATACATAGGGTAGCTGATATTTGAAAGTAATTTAACAAACTGGACATTTCCCGAAAATAAAACATAAGGGACTGCGCAAWAATTATCMGGACTGATTTGTAGTCTTATWATAGTGAGATAAGATAGGAAACTTTTTTAAATTACCCTTTCGATGCACCCGATATAATAATATGTATTGGGACCAGAAGTGTTCAAATTGACTACATTTTAATAAATATCAATTTTCATTCCTTCTAAATTTTTTTGCTGTGTTTATTTATTAAATTTCAACCAAGAATATTTTTTTTTAGGATTTCCACCACGAAATGTTGACGCTGTTGGTATGGATGAGGAAGGTGAGTCTTCAAGGTGGACAAACAGCAACCCCTAATGAAATTCAAACTAGACGGAAAAAAAGCACAAACCTATAAACACTAATATAACTATCAATCACCCCACGCCAAAAAGCCATTCTATCTGATTCGACACTAATCATACCCAATTCTACCAGCACAGGAAAATCCCAGCTATCCCGCCAATAGTTCTCCCCCATTCTCGATTGCAAAGATCATATGTGATTAGCTTTATGTATTCATTAGTTTTGGAAGGACAGATTGATAAACTGGAAGCCTGAGGACTTTGATGGTTTGAAGTCAATTGTACTAAGTCATCAACAGCTATGGGTTCCCGACATTACACTATACAACAGGTAAGATWTCTCTCWTGCTCAGCMCAGTCTTCAGCTCCCAATGTACAATCGAAAGTTATGTTTGGCGAGGGCCTCATGCGATATTCAGGCCCATACACAAATAGATAACCTGATAGAATTTCTAACTCTGCCATAATAAAAGAATCACCTWCTAACTGAATAGTATAATCATCTATAAAAGCAATTTCCCCAAGCAATTGAAAAGTTCATAATATTTGGATCTTATTCATATATACAGGGATATTGAAAATCATTTAAAAGCGTGCAGCTGTTTTTCTAAGTGTCTTATGCCTGCTATTCTTCTATCACAGTGTATTGCAAAAGCCTGGAGATATAAAACTAAAGATGCTTGACTATTTTATAGTCAGTCATACTGGCGACATCTCATGGACTTCTCCCATTATCATTTCATCAAAATGCAATATGGATGTCCATTCGTTTCCATTTGACAAGCAGAAGTGCCATCTCGAGTTTGCGTCTTGGGTATACGGCGGTGACAAGATCAACATTCAACTGCAACGCCCTTATGTGGACAACGAAAGTTACTCACAAAATGAGGAATGGACATTTTACGATAGTAAAACAGAGCGAAAGGTAAAGAAATACAATTGCTGCCCGGAACCTTGGCCAAGTGCTGTGTTTACACTGTTCATGAAGCGACGTCCAAACTTTTTCATACTCAATCTGGTTCTCCCGTGTGGACTAATTACGGCTCTTTCTGTATTTTCGTTTATTTTGCCACCCAGSTCAGGTGAAAGAGTTTCCTTTATAATGACCGTATTAGTAGCTTATTCAGTGTACATGATGATAGTATCAGAGGAGATGCCACATGCTTCTGGAACCCCRTTGGCTTCAAAGTTTTTTGCAGTCATCATGGTCCAGCAAGCCATTTCTCTCGCAGCAACGTGCTTCATCATAAGATTTCACAACAACGACACGCCAGTGCCCAAATGGATWGCTGTTTTGGTGAACAAATGGCTGGCACGCTTACTTTGGATGAGAGCCGAGAAGGGATCCATTTCCCCTAAGACCGRACATGATGACCTCATTATAGAAAGATCGTCCCACATAAATAGAGATTTCAAAAATGAAGACAGTGAAATWGTAAAAAGCAAGGTCAATGATGGATCCAMACTGAAGAATGACAATGTCGTTTTACAAGCAGCYAAAGAGAACTGCGCACTTCAAAAAGAGCTCGAGGAAGTGAACAAAGAGGCAAAAGTCATTGCCAATCACTTTCGCGACTTCAAAGAAAAAGAAATACTTCAAAATGAGTGGATTTTCGCAACGCAAGTCTTGGACAGGTTTTTTATTATCCTTTTAGGAGTGAGCGTTTTCATTTTGATGCTGATAATTTTACTCTACAACTATGAACTTTTAGGGTAGTTTCAGTTTGTCATTTTCCATCTCATAGCAAAGTTTCCAATCACCTTCTAAGCACTACAGGAGAAAATACATCAAATACAAATTAATGTCACTACGGGGACAGCACAATAKATTTTTTAACAGTTAATCCAGGATAAGCGCTGATYAGGACWMGTGATTCCGTATCARAATTTGATATGAATTGCCATCAAGTGTGAAGATGGAATCAAGACTTGAAAATCYAACGATATTCTTSAGKTCCTCTCSTCAGGGCCCCWCACTATACAACATGAGAACCCTGTGATGGACTGCAGTATTTATGCTAGACTTTTGGAAGCTTYTTCTTGTCCAGTTCTTCACATCACCGGCAGTAAGTTAGACTGAGATGATATGCCTTAATTATTTACTGCTCTCTGATATGATCYGTTTTCGAATACGCGGGCCAAAGCTATCAGCAATYTTTGAACTTAAGGAGAGGAACACTGACGAGGCCGCTAACTTTTGTMCTGCTCTCAGGAACAGAGGCTCGTTWCTCATGGCTGTGCACAACGGAATGTAGGTAAAATTGTAAATATTTTGCAAGGGCACCGGCACTAAAAATATTCAACAACTATGTCTTACTTTTAGATTTCAATGAATAGTAAATAATCAGGTTGACTTATTTATGTACTATTCTTGCAACCACTGTATTTGAGCTTRTTCTGCAATAAAGGTATCTGGAGAACACCTCCATTTTAAATTGGATAATGCGAGCATTTTGTTTTGAATATGCTTCTCAGCTTTGTTTGAATCCCCTGGTTCCAGAGGCTTGTCTTGAATTCTTTTGCTATGTTATCGAGGCGTCAAACATATGAACCAATAGGAGGTCATCTCAGATAAAAGATCATATTACATCGATCCATGATTGGTTTGCTAAAATACAGCATGAAAGTGAGATTTCCGGCCTACGCTTGATACCAGAGGCTTGGCTTAAAAACAAACCGATTGGCGGAAACTTTCTTGACGCTTCGTGATTCGATAACATAGTAAGCAAAAGATAGAGACAAGGCTATGGAACAAGTGTCCCTTTTGAAAGAAAGGCTCTCAATTTTTCGTTTTGAGATCCTACGTTTCATCGCCATATTCCATATCAAGCTTAGACTAGATARGAGAGACCCACAATCTAATCACACAATCCTTGTGTGTGGGCCACAAAGATCCAACATTTAATGCGTGACAATAGGAATATTTTGTACAGTTGGCACTATTAAAGTAAAATAAGCTAGATATATTTGGAATCAAATTTCGTAAGCTGCACTTGGAAATACAACTAAATGATGGTCATTTGAGAAGGCATCCTGAAATCAACCAGTATATTTGAATTTTATGTTTTTTAGTTATAATTAGCAAGAATAGCAAAAAATCCATATGAATTTACAAGTAGCGGGCATCCTTGCGTGGCAATAAAAAAGTCAAGTTCCTCAACTTATTTGACTTTCATGCTAAACTTTGTAGAGCTGACAATATAGGGATCGAATTTGAAAYGGCAGACGGCTGTAGTTATTTCCCGTCCAAGATAGACGGCGGAAAGATTTGCAAATCAAAAACAACTGACGACAATCCTAACGATAAAATCTATTATTTATTACTTATGAGGTCATCTTGATTTGCATTTTATGTCATAATTTTTTACAATAAGATTAAGAGTGYAGGCAAGATAGATCGTCGGTGTTCGACAACGGAAACGATCTTGCATCAGCATCTTTTGAAGACAAGAGAGAATATGATGACCCCGAATCTGATCGCGATGCTTTTCTTGATATATTATTGGGCAGGTGAGTTGCTAAACACTTTTTCGTTTTCTCATGTTTCTTTTGTTTGTTTCACCTTAATTTAATCGTGCTGATTAACATTTAAAACGGAATTGTCTTTGATACAAAGTCGGAGTTTCTCGTTGCAGATATTGCAAATCACTTGATCATGAGAAAATCGTTTTATGTTCGACATCTTTAATAACACCAACTGATATTTCCTTTCTGCTTTCCTTTTTACTCATTCTTCCTTTTTTATTGTTTGCCATAAAATTCCAGAGATGAATTACTTAAATACGATTCTTTTTAAAAATTTCGTTCCATTAGCCAAAAAGAAAACGTAAGAATGTTTTTAAGTTATATATGCCGAATAATTTCCCAATAAAGGTTGTATGGCCCAATATATATGTGACACTTCAGACAAAATATTGTCATAAAATATGTCAATTAATCTATTGAATGGCTACATAATAGTCACATCTTTGGTTTAATTGCGTTGTCGCTTGCTATTCATTGGAATCCAAATGTTAAGAGACTTAGGAAAGTCGTTAAAAAAAGAAAAATTGCTTCCTGCTGTTGGTCAAAGGTCTTTACGGTATGTAGCTGTCAAAGTTACCGTGAAACTGTACTTAGGAAAAGACTTTTAGCAATGACCAACAATTCATTTCCATATACTAACAACACTACAGCATCATAGAAAACCACATCTTTTGAAATAGCGGTATGCACCCATGTATGGCCATCCTGGGCCGTGGAAGAGTAAATCACTTTAATTGGATTCCAATTCGTGACTTCCAGGTGCATCTTTTGTTCAGTCTGCCCGTAGTACAGAGAGTCGCTTGAAGGAGCACCTTCTAAAAGAGTACGATCCCAGTACACGTCCAGTGAAAAACATATCACAAGCTGTTGGTGTTAGATTTGGTATAAATCTACAGCAGATTATTGAAGTGGTATGAGACTGTATTTGTGATATCTTTCTCCCGGGGGGGGACTCCCTAATGTCAAAGGGCGGGGGTCCTTGGCTTCCCTTTTAGGGTTTGAAATCAATATTTTGGTCCCGCTTAGGTTGATCATGACAAGAATTCCTACCAACTGTGTTTTGTGGTCCCTTTTTGGGTATACGGCGACCCTAAGTAGTCATAAAATGGCAACGTCGTAATACGAGCCGACGGTGTTCGATGATTGTGTAAAAACACAAATAAAATCGGTACTGAACCAAAACAAAATGACCTGTTATTGATTGGTCCCCTTTAGGGTTTAAATTTCAGCACTGCCACGCCCATCATCTCACAATAGAGGTCCCTTTTAGGGGTCATTTTCACAATCTCCGCCGGGGACCAACGCCCTTTGATATTAGGGAGTCCCCCCCCGGGATCTTTCTCCCCATCTGGATTACAGATTCTGTAGTTTTTTATTCATTAGTTATCTATATTTGAATCAATAGAGTCATCACACTTGCACCGTTTTTATTTACTGACTATTTGTATCTAACAGTAGATATCACTGAACCAAAACAATTCTTAAAAACAAAAGGTAATACACAAGAGACTTGGAAGCCAAACAACTTTATTAAAAGCTACCTAATGAAGATGGAGGAATTTGTTAAAAAATGTCCCACCCACAAGGAAAGAAATAAAGAGCTAGTTTAGTTCTTTGTTAAACCCAGAGGAAAGATGTCGGGAAGGGCTAGAACTTGTGTTAAATATAGTCATCCTTCATGGAACTCGAGTTTATTGAAAGGCCATAAAAAGAATTGCCCTATATTGTTGATTATAGGGTGAAAGTGAAATAGATAGCTATAGTAACTAACTTTTATAACTGTTACGAGTGCTGCTGGAAATAATGATTTGGTAACTAATGCCCCATGCTCAAAAGGTACGTATCTCACAAACACATTTCCGAAATGATTAATAAAATTTCTTGTGTTTTATTTTGAGCTTCAAGCAAAGGATAAGTTTAAAACGTTGCCGCTGGTTGTTGTCAAGTCGCTTTTTTATATTGACTAGTCAAATAACTCAGCTTTGAGCGATAGAATTCGTTCGAAACCACGTTGTTTATATATTTTTGCGGGTCATTTCAGTGCGTCTTGTCTTGATTTTTAGTTCAGGCTCTTATAATAAACTCGTTAGAAAACACGTTCATTTGCGTAGTGNCATAAAATTACAGAGATAAATTACTTAAATACGATTCTTTTTAAAAAATTTGGTTCCAATAGCCAAAAGAAAGTGTAAGATTTTTTTAAAGTTATATGGCGAATAATTTCCCAATAAAGGTTGTATGGCCCAATATATAAGTGACACTTGAGACAAAATATTGTCATAAAATATGTCAATTAATCTATTGAATGGCTACATAATGGTCACATCTTTGGTTTAAGTGCGTTGTCGCTTGCTATTCATTGGAATTCAAATGTTAAGAGACTTAGGAAAGTCGTTAAAAAAAGAAAAATTGCTTCCTGCTGTTGGTCAAAGGTCTTTACGGTACAAAGCTGTCAAAGTTACCGTGAAACTGTGCGTAGGAAAAGACTTTTAGCAATGACCAACAATGCATTTCCATACTAACAACACTACAGCATCATAGAAAACCACATCTTTTGAAATAGCGGTATGCACCCATGTATGGCCATCCTGGGCCGTAAATCACTTTAATTCGATTCCAATTCGTGACTTCCAGGTGCATCTTTTGTTGTTCAGTCTGCCCGTAGCACAGAGAGTCGCTTGAAGCAGCACCTGCTAAAAGACTACGATCCCAGCACACGTCCAGTGACAAACATATCACAAGCTGTTGATGTTACATTTGGTATAAATCTACAGCAGATTATAGAAGTGGTATGAGACTGTATTTGTGATATCTTTCTTTCCATCTGGATTACAGATTCTGTAGATAGTTTTATATTCATTAGTTATCTATATTTGAATCAATACAGCCTTTTGCAAAAATTATGAGAATTGTCTAAATATCTAAATATCATAATATCCATATCCATATATTGTCCGGAACACGCGGGTTTGCTAGAATAATTCATTATTGACATCGAGAAAATGTTCAGAACTACGGATAAGTCCGTCGCCAAAAAAAAACTTAACTACAAAGACAAGGGACCAAGGGAATCGCGCAGGATTACCCATCATGCACTTGATATTATGATATTTAGATATTTCAACAATTCTCATAATTTTTGCAAAAGGCTGTAATGATTCCATATATAAAATATTGAAAATTTCTTGTTATTTTGTTATTCAATTTTCTGCTAGAGTAGGTTTTTGAAGGGCGATCCCCAGTTTAGTGATCAAAAATTTCAACATTGACTAATTTGATGTTATATCCTTCCATTTTACTTCGTCTTAGCCAATAAATAATAGACACACGCACCCTACTAGTCTGCTTCGTAGCCTCCCCTTTTCTACAGGAAGCCCGACAAAAGGGGAGGCTGCGAAGGAGACTAGCACCCTACGGAAATTGGTAAAAAATTAACAATTGCAAGTCTCTATTTACATGGTATTAGTACAACATGGATCGAAATTAACTTCTTCTTAACTTGGAAATATGCTATACTGAGGGGTTGGGAAGGACGAGTGGTGAAGTAGGGTGAGGAACAATCATGCAAGCATTAAATCTGATTGACAAYAATWWYYT